TTTACATAGTATAGATACTTTGTTATACGTTTGAATCCTTAAATGACTTGCTAGCGGCTCAAGTTGTTTATTTGCCCGGTGGCGAATCCTGTGGGTATGCTCGCCAGCGGAAGCAAGTTTACAGACAATCTTACGCGGGCAAGTCAAACGGTGCAAATCCCTTGTATTCACACTGTATATAGATATAAGTATGTTGATACCTCGTTTCAGCATGCTTACAATGTGCAATTCGCCTAGAGGTGGTAGGGACCGGAGCATCTTGCCAGCGTAGACAAACTTGCGATGGCCTTCGCCGGCACATGGGGGCCGGGTCCCGTCTCCTCGCCAGCGGGTGCTCATAGTTTGTCAAATGTCCTGCCAGCGGTGTGCCCCTGCAAGCTCATCAACCCTATCCCATTCAAATTTCTCGCCAGGATTTATTCTCCTGCGCTGGCACGTCACGCCAGATACAAATTAGTATCTGGCGTGGTGGTCCTTGCCGACAAACTTGTCTCGTACCTGACTGACTGTCCTGCTCCTCCTTGCACTCATCCACTGCGTCGATCACGAGGACAATATCCGTCTTTGCAAGTTGCAATGGTTCTTCGATGAGTTTGGTGAACTGATGGCGCAGTCCTCGTATGAGAAGGTGAGGATCTCTTTCTTTTATCATCTTTATTTGCTCTAGGATTGTCTCGTTTTGAGCACCAATATCCCCTGCGATGACGGAGCAGAAATCATCCGTCTCTGATGTCTGCCGAGCATTCTTCGAAAAGAAGAACCGACCAACTAGAACATCTTTGGTATTATCCCATTCCTCGCACATCGTCAATGTGACCGTGGACTTTCCAGACCCGCCAACGTCGCAGAGCCAAAAGATGCGCTTGTCTGCGTTGGAATCCAGACGCCATTGCCGAATCTCCTGCAGAATCGGTACGCGTGTGCCCGGTAGACACGTCTTATGCTGAGTACCCATCGGACGAGGCTTCTCGGGGCCGAGTTGGGCTACTTTCCACACTGTAGGTAATCAACACGAGTCGGAGGGTGACGTGAATCGGGCTAACCTTCTGCTTGTAGCTGAATTTGACAGAGCTTGGTCGTATCCTATTGCGAATAGCTCAATACGAAGCTGGCTCCACGTGACATTCATACCTCGAATACCCGCGTAGCTTGTAAGATTTCCTGTTTGTATTCTGCAATATTTCCGGTATCGATCTTGGCATCCGTGATCTTTCTGAAAAATCCTTTGACGCCTTGATCTCTGCCGTGCTTCAACTCATCCATTTTGGAGAGTGTGCCCTTCAGAGCGCTATACAATTTCAGCAAAACATTCAAAAGCTTGACCTCGGGTCCTACACAATGTAATCTCTCGATGCATTGTTGAAATCCTTGAGCGCGGTGGGCATCCGGTCCATGCGTCCGTCCTCGACAGCTTGGAGATATCCTTCATCCAAGATGTATATATGTAATTCAAGACTATCCCTGAGTATTCTGAGTCCTTTGGTGTTCTCGTTTACACTCTACGGCGTAATCAGATAGAAACTCAGTAGTGATGCTAAGCGTGTCGTACCCTGGTTATCTCAAGGAATAGAAGGGAAATCTCGCAAACTGCTTTGAGAGGTCCCAGAAATGAAGTAGCCTCGGTCCCCGCCTTGACGAGCTTGACAGCCTCGATGAGGGTATCCCGTGTTCGCTGATAAGCAATGTCTGGGTCATGAGAAGGTGTATTTGTTCTTGAGGAATTCGAAGAGTCGAATTCTGAGTTCCTGGCTTTTCGGCGATGCATTGTGAATATGCTCGAAGCTGGTGGATACCACGTTGATTGCTATATTTGGCCAGAGCGCTATCTAGCGCTCGGCCTCGGCGTCCAAACGCAGGTACATAGGTATCTCGGCCATCGCCGCCATCTCTTTATTTGCATCTAAGTTGCCTCGGTGGCTGGTTAACATGCCAGTGGTCGTCCAATTATGGCTATAATGCTCGGATGGTTAGATGAGCGCTGGCGGCGTGACGGGAAAACCTGGAATGAGAAACTATCTCATTACGATTAGGATTCTATCCGCTACGTGGCCGCGGCTGCGCTTGGAGATTTCTGTGCATTACGGATTGCTCTGTTGTGTGATAAAGGTGATGCGACTATAACGCATCCCGAGGTACTCCTCCTCACCTCTCTAGCCAGGCTCAACCGTGGTACTACCCAATTTGTCCTTGTTCCGGTCCATCCTAGTCGCGTTGCGTGGCCGTTATACTGTCTCACGCACAGAGTACGACTGGATTCGGGACCATTGTGAATGCTGATTCTGACTTTCCTGAGCTCGGACTCTGAATTTTTCATTTCATTGTAAGATGAATCTGCACAGCCCTGGAGCCTGCTTGCCGACCATGGCCGACTGCGAGTGCTGTGTATTCCATGGGACGTCATGGACTGTCCTGCCAACCCCCTTGATTCACATCGTTATCCTTATTGTGAACTTATAGGTTCTCTCATGTATCTCTCCACATGTACCCATCCTGACATCACCTTTGCCTTATCCAACCTTTCTCGCTTCCTATCCAACCCTGGGATCCGTCATTGGAACCAAGCGCTGCGTGTCCTCCAGTATCTTCGCAACCATCCCGACCTCAGCCTGAATTATACTCCCTCAGACACACCGATTCCCAATGCACTAGTTGGCTACACCGATTCCGACTGGGCAGGTGACGTTGACCAAAGACGCTTGACATCCGGTTTTGTTTTCACAATGGCTGGGGGAGCGATTTCCTGGAGATCAAGACTTCAAACCATCCTTGGGACTTCCTCAACTGAAGCGGAATACGTTGCCACTGCACCTGCATGTCAGGAGGCTGTATGGCTTCTATGAGGTTCACAGGGAGAACTCACCAGTACGAGGGCTATGCGAGGCCAAGTGAGTAATACTTAGCTGGGCGAGCGTGTTCACCAGTCTAAACCCGTTTATTGACGGAGGGTATCGACGTGGGAGGGTACAGGAAGTCTCTGCTAGTTACGACATGTACATAGAGTCTTATATAGCAAGGGTAAACATTGGAACGAGGAAAGAGCGATGGGAAGCTAAGCATGTGCTTATACCGTCGCTATGAGGGTATATGCAATGGAGGCTATGAAGAGAACGGTAATGAATGTGGTATGGAGTGGGTAATGAGTGTCACGGGTACGGTTGCGACGTGTGTGACGAGGAGAAATCCTCGGAACCTTACAACTTCGTCGGATGGTTGCTGAGCTCGGCTGGCCTTCATTGTCACCTACCACTCTTTGGATGGACAATTTAGGTCCCATGGCCCTCACTTGAGCTCTGAAGTCGCACCAGCGAACTCGGCATATTGATCTACGATATCACTTTATTCGCGAATGCGTTAAAGATGAAATGATCAAGCTGGAGTGGATTCCATCAACGGAGAACGTGGCAGATTTGTTCACTAAAGCTCTCACTCCCAAAGTATTTCGGCGTCTAGTCTCCCTCATGGGTTTGACACAACGTCCCATGTGAGGGGGAGTGTTAGTTCACACTAGTGTACATTACACCCGTCACGTTGCCTCCCTTCCCCATTGGTCGATCCATCACCGGTGGCAGTGCTCCTCACTCGGTTAATTCACGACTGCTGTGAATTATTGCCACTTGCTCACTCGTATGATCGATGCTCACCGCCCACATTAGCTAACTAGACGTTGTCTGTTAGGTAGTGTATTTGATTCGGTTAATCAACGACCGCTGTGAGCTAACTACACGTTGTCTGTTAGTCTGACAAAAATTGCAGGCAAGGCGCTCTCTAGCTGTGGTCTCTACATATGTCCAAGAGTAGTAGCGGCTTTGTGGTAATCTAGGAACACATGATGGCCAAATATGCGACATATATGCAGTCTATCGATGAAATTACAGACGCATACAAGCATCCATGCATTATTAGTAACCATTTGACTGCTTCAGTCCTTCATCTCCGCACACGGCGGGTTAACTAGGCCCTTCCAGCAGGACAGAGGCTCGAATTATATACCTCAAACTTTTTCAGACTTGATTTAGAATAATATTACATGCACTTCTAGTCGGCCTATGCGTTCCTTAGCTCCAATTCCGTTGAGGTTCATTAAGACTTCCAAGACGCCTATAAGAGACGCCGGGTTAAAATATGACAATATTCTTACACAATAGAACTTATCTGACAGCAGAACACTCTTATACGTTATTCGGAGCACACCGAGAAGGGCTTAGAGCGGCGATTTGTCCCCCTGGGCCCTGCACCAAGGATTGGCTCACCTTACAGGTCAGAGCCCGGCCGACCAGGTTAGGAATACCTGAGTAACGGGGGTCATAGGTACTGTGACGCTTTAGAGGGAAAAGAGGGACACTATAGTCTAGTGGTCTGACGGCTAAGTCGGGGCGAATCCGGCTTGTTCCATTTCCCACGGCTAGAACGTTACACAAAGCGTTGAACAGAGTATACTTAGGCAAGTGAGCGTTGTAGTCAAACCAGTAAGGTTTGACTACAGCTGCTCACTCGCCACTATGTACATAGACGAGACAACAAGGCAATAAACTAACACAAAGGTGCCAGGTGAGGAGAATCAGAAGAGGAGGATGACCGATTCATCTCGTTCGCGGGGAGTATCATGTCATTGTACTGTATACACCTCGGGGTTGAGCACTGCCGATGCCCAGAGGGCTGGTATCGGGGACAGGAGAACAGAGACATTCGTAGTTGCTCTTGCTGAGCTGTAGACGCTTCAAGTGGCATATTTCGACTCCAATATCAACGCCCTTTTGACTTCTGACCACCCGTATCATCTCTGCCGCATAGACTGCCAGACGGCGATACTACGATCACAAAGAGATTGTTGCCACTAGACTGTTGTCGCAACGAAGGCTTGGTATCAAGAAGACATATTGCATTCTGCATACGGTGCGAAACACTAGCAGTGGCATACCAAAAGGTAAATGTATTAGACAAGAACGGTACGATGACACGGCTTTGAGAGAACCACTAGTCCATGAGAGGTGTACGCCACTAGGTACGAAAAGTCCGTGTCGAGTCACAAGAAGTCTGCACAAGTGTTACCAAGCCGTCTGAGAAATACGAGTAGGAAAGGGGGTCTCACCAATATCAGTCGTTTGAGTCTGTCAGGTTGCCTGCAGTCCCGCCATCCCCGGCTCCAGCCATCGACTGTTCGGGTGCAGTCGCGACTGGCGTAGTCATCCCGGTAGCGACACGACTGAGCAGCTCGAGCACACGTTCGTCATGCGGGTCACGCGAATGATGTGTCGACGGCGTGAGTGGGCCCAACTTTGAACTAACCGCACCACCCGTTGCACATGTTGCGCTCGTTTGACTCGTCGTACTCCCGCCTGTAATGTTCATGTCCAATTTGGCTAGTGGTGCCGATGAAGACGGAACGTGAGCGCTTGCGAGTTGTCCCGTTTGACGACGTCGAGCCCTCTGCTGGCGTTGCGTCAATGAGACGTCTATAGGCTACAACTAGACTCACGACTCGCGCTGGTGACGTTTGCAATATCGGTTCCAGAGGAAGAACGAAATGTGTAAACGGAGGCGAGCCGTCTGGATTGGCGAGCAGTTCAAGTTGCGGTTGGAAATGTCCGCCAGTGGTTGGCTGAGGTGGTGTTTAGTTTTCTGTCGAGGTGGCTGGATTACGAAATCGCGTTCTTCCGTCGGCGGGCATGGCATATGCGCTCTGGGATTGTAAGGAGACCGAGGGGTGTTCGGTGGACCATTGGGTTGACCAGGAGGGATCGCGTTCATATGTATACCCAACCTGATGTGGTCCAGGAGGTTGATTATGCGAATCACTCGCAGGCCGAGGTGTATAGGCGTTGCCTGTCGTCGAGTCAGCCTCGTTCAAGAAACCGTTTTGGGACGTCTTACTCGGTATCGAAGACGCACGTGATTGCTGACCTGACTCGATAAGAGGTGGATGGAACGGGTCGAAATGACCACTGGACGGAGCAAACTCCACGGCTGGATGTCGGCGAGGTTAATGGGACGACCATAGGGCGAAAATTGAGAGGTCCTAGCGTCTATGGACCCACGCCCCTCGGGTGCCATCCTATCTACGCAGCTTTCGCCCAGTTCGTACGACACCACTGGGTGGACTACGCACGCCCGCATTTGCTGGACTGGGTGATCCGTATGCATGTCCATTATCCACAGAGCCCGAATGAGTTGCGTATATGAGTTGGTACCTGCAGGTGTAGAGGTGCGGCGACAGCATAACGATGTTCGGGACTTTGGGTAGGTGGGGTGGGCAACTGTTGAGCTGGCGCTGCATCGGCGGGCGCTGGAGTGAGAGTCGGTAGCTGGTATGCAAATGGATGGTCGTATGTCTGCGGTGCGGCGGGTGGGTACGACATTTAACGCATCATGTGCATTTCCGAGGGACTGTCGGACTGGGTCATGGCCGGTTCACAATAATAGGGAGGATGGTGCGCAGGTGCAGGATGGTATTGATAGGCGTTTGGGGGAGAGCCATTGTACGATTGAGAGCGAGCGTGATAGCCATAGTAAACAGACGGGTGCGGTTCTCCGGGCGGTGGATAGTAGTTTGGATAATGAGATAGCGGTGATCGAGGAGAATAGTCATATGTATGGCATGGCGCCTGGTATTGACCCGCCTCGCTCATCGAGTTCGACCTAGGAGGGTGGGCTGGTGGATGCGGGGTTGCATATTGAGGAAGCGTATCAACGTTGTAACCGACTGACATGGAGTATGCGTGCTGGTGGTGACTGGGTGTATGGGTATAACCATGGAGAGGAGGAGGACCATAGCGCAGGGTGAGGGCCGAGACTGTGTGCCAGCAAGGTGATGATGGGCGGTTGAATAGAGACGAGGGAAAAGAGACTCTGGCCAATGCACAATGAGTGCCTTGTAGATCTCCCGTCACCAATTTACCTGGGATGTATCCTCGTTGACACCGCATAGGAGATTATGGATGGGATGGCGTATGCATTTGTGTTGGACGAGTGGAATGGAAACGTACCACTGCATACAAGAGGAAATGTGCATCTGCCGCACTGCGAATCTTGACGCTGCGCGCAGTAGCGCGTCGACGTTCGCACTGGGTCCAATGGATATCGCGAAACATATCTCTGCAGGCGCATGTCTACTGGAGCGTTCAAATGACGTCCTTTTCCCACCCATCGTGACCCTGTCTCTTGTCCAGGACGCTCGCAAGCATAACGACTGACCCCGCAAGGCACTCCTCGACTAGAAAACACAGGTTTGGTACTAAATACAGTTCATGTCTGACGCGAAAGATGTATTCGACCTCGAACATGTTAGCGAAGCAAGTCCAGAAATCACGTGGAGACGTCGAGCGTCGAGTAGAATGAGACTACGCACTCATGATGATTGAACGAGCGATACCAAGGTCACTCCGCGTCGAATAGGGCCAGACTGCGGCTGCTAGATGACGGGCTCAAATCTCCAACGCTGGAGCGGATCAACACCAAAGAAGTGGGAGTCGATTTTAGGTGAGCTGAGGACTCGAATGTTGATACTTTCAAGGCGAAAGAGTCGCATCGTGAGCAGCTAGCCGTAGAAGAGTCACGAAGGACGCTTCCCAGGTCACAGTTGCGGTAGAAAAGGAATCAACCTGTATTATACTAGAATTTCTTGTACACATTGGTACAACTCGCAGCGCAATGGACCGAGAGCCGCAGACTACAGAGTCGCGGTCGGCACGAACATTTGGTCAAACAAAGGTCAACTCGTTTTGGCCATATAATGCCAGATCCCAGCGAGTACTCGCATGCTGGTGGACACGATTAGTACCGCTATTCTGAGTTGCCATCTTATCCGAATACAAAGTCACACACCAATCAGACTCTGGCGTCTATCGAATCGAACTGCGATTGGACGATTCATATCAGCCTACTGACCGGTCATCCGGTCGCTCGTCTGGAAACAATGAGGCTTGCTCCCCGACACCTCTAGGACCGTATAACCCCTACAGCGCGTCCTAAGGCCCGTTCAGACGACACTATCGACTGTTTGAACAACTCAAGAGCGCACAATGTCACAAGAGCAAGGCAAAGCACGGCCATTTCCACGAGGCCTAAATCATGTTGCCCGACTTTGGCAACGAGTGAACGATCGGACTGCTGCAAGTGAACATCCTAGAACATTGAAATCCTCTACGTCCAAAACCAAGAAGGAAGACCTTGGATTCCTGGAATTGGTATGCCCAGAGGATCCCACCGTCGAGTAAGCACATTCGGGGCACTGTAGTCGCTTCGTGCTGACCTCCCCACTCCAGTATCATAGCAATCCACGGCTTGAATGGTCACAGAGAAAAGACTTGGATGACAGACGATGGCGTTCTTTGGCTACGCCAATTCTTGCCGTCCTCATTGCCTCGTGCCCGTATCCTGACCTATGGCTACGACGCCGACACTCACAGTACGGAGTGCGTATCGACCCAGACTATGCGCCGCCACGCCGTCGGTCTGGCTCAAGCTATTTTACGAAAGCGTAAAGATGCTCCTCGAGTGAGTGGCATCCGTAAACCGGTGCCTTGTTCCCTAATCACCCTAGCGCCCCATCATCTTTGTTGCTCACGATTTGGGAGGCATCATTCTCAAATGGGTTCGTCCGAGGATGTCCACTACATTTTGACCCTGACGGTCTCATAGGCGCTTGTCATATGCAACAATGAGGACCTGGAATCAAAAGACGGCCTACGAAATATCGTGGTATCCACCCATTCCATCCTCTTCTTTGGAACCCGCATTCCGGCGTAGAAGAAACGCTCCTGAAGATCGTTCGCCTGGCAGCACCATGTATGGAATCAACAGAAGTCATTGTCAAGAACCTTCACGCTCACTCGGATGAACTCGAAAACATCCAGAGCTTGTATCTCACCGCGAGTAAAAAGATAAACAGCGTCTTCTTCTGCGAGGAATACAGCACCGGAGCCGACGAACAGCAGATACGTTTGGTAGGTGCGCTAAATCGTCTTATGGGTGGGTGCTAACTGGCTTATAGAATGTTCCGTATCACTCGGCGGTGATCGCTGGCGATCAAAACGCTATTGCGGTCGTACTCCATAGCGATCACCAGAACCTTGTCAGATTCCAGACGGAAGAGAGTGAAGATTACCAAGCAGTTGCTTACTATCTCACGGAGTGCGCTGAGAACGCCCCCGATGCCGTGCACAAAAAATGGTTTATGGAGAATAACTTGCGCAGTTCGTAACATACTCATCGCTGATTCTTTCCTGACCCACGAGTAGCCGTCGTGAAGGGAGGAACCATCCCTCAACCAGGTATGAACTATCTCGTGTACACGAAGGTTTACTAATATTCTCAAGACGACGCGCTTTTCGTATCTCAACTGCCGGTAGTCGCATTCGCCCCATCCTCTGTCCATACCACCTGTCTACAAAGGAACTCGCCAGGCTGTCCTCGAGACAATCTCGCAATGGGCCGATGGCGATTCATCAGAAAAACCGATCTTCTGGCTATGTGATATAGCTGGCTCTGGAAAATCGACCGTCGCGATGACTGCAATGGAGAAGTGGAAGAAGCAAGGAATCTTAGGCGGCGGATTCTTCTTCTCCATGGCAAGCAGCGAAAGCTCAGACACCGAAAAGTTTTGCTCGACCATGGCGAGGGAACTCGCTCAACATATTCCGGAGCTTGGGACACCGATTGCGGAGATAGTAAAGCGGAATCCTGCTCTCCTACGAGCCTCTTTTGATCAACAGTTTCGAATGCTCATCACCGGTCCCCTCCAGCATCAACAGAAGCGAGTAGTTTTCGTCTTAGACGCACTTGACGAATGCAAGTCTGGACCACAGAGAAGGAAACTGGTAGAGACTCTCGCTTCTGCCGCTCAGGAGAGCAAGAATCTTCGGATATTCATCACAAGTCGGCCAGACCCTGTGATAGAAAAGGTTTTAGAACCTCTTTCGATCAAGGTCAAGTTGAAAGATCGGCTCTACGATCCTAGCCATCGCGATAACATCGAAGACATTGCGATCTACGTCCACAAAGTGCTGGATGGAGTCCTGGCACTCGATAAGAGACAGAGATTGGTCGAGAAAGCCAGCGGCCTGTTCATTTGGGCAAGCACTGCCTGCCAAATCCTTGCCGAGGAGACGAGGGTGATCTCTCTTGAGGATACATATAATCAACTGGTCTCTATCGATCGGCGTGGGACTATCGACGACGTTTATGACCTCGTCTTTGAACGCATCGAGCCAGCATCCAAAAAGGCATCATTGAAATGCTCGGTATGCTGCTTGCTGCGTTCGAACCACTCACCACCCATGACTTGGAAGACCTTGTTCAGCATACCAAAGGACAAGGAGTGCCAAGCGCTGGTACGGATTCTGGGAAGTGTACTCAAGGAGGATCCGATCACGCACTTGATACAGTTTCGTCACCCCACCTTTTTCGAATATCTTCGACGACGCTGTAGCACCGAAATTATCGGCGGCGACAGAATCTTATCATACATCGCGCGTGCACATGGCCAAGCCACATCATGGTGTCTTCACACTCTCAAATCGCGCAAGGAGGGGCTCAAGTTTAATATTTGCCAAATCGAGTCATCCTTCTATCTGAATAGGCAGATTACAGACCTTGACGCCCGGGTGGCGAAATTCATTTCGCGAAGGCTTCGCTATGCTAGTTTGCACTGGTCGTTCCATGTGGCCGCAATGGACAGTGACTGGGGCCGCAGGCTAAGGAATGAGCTGGCATGTATAGTCCAAAGTCCATTCGCACTCTATTGGATGGAGATCCTCAGCGTGAATGGAGGAGTCATGCGTGCAGTATCTGGAATGCGAGCTGCGACGCAACATAAGAGTGTGCGTGGAATATTTGAGACCTTCCGATTACTAAAGCAACAGATAGCTTGAGCAAGGGATCCGAGGTCGGATGAATGACATCAGACGGTTTTTGATGGCATTCTCTGTACCAATCCAAGACAGCGCACCACACATCTACATCTCATCTCTCCCATTCAGTCCACGGAAGTCGGTACTTCATACGGAGGGTTTAAAGGAGTATATGAATTCGTTAATTGTGACCAGAGGGCTTGAAGAAACATTTCGTGAGCTTCCCAGAACGCTGCTAGGTCACCAGGGTAGTGTCACAGCGGTTTCATTCTCACCAGATGGCACACGAATCGTCTCTGGCTCAAGCGACAGGACAATTCGACAGTGGGATGCAGAGACTGGCCAGCCATTGGGAGAGCCACTCCAAGGTCATGAATTCTCGGTGAACGCTGTCGCATTCTCACCAGATGGCACACGAATCGTCTCTGGCTCAAGCGACAGGACAATTCGACAGTGGGATGCAGAGACTGGCCAGCCATTGGGAGAGCCACTCCAAGGTCATGAAGACGAGGTCATGGCTGTCGCATTCTCACCAGATGGCACACGAATCGTCTCTGGCTCTTTGGACAGGACAATTCGACAGTGGGATGCAGAGACTGGCCAGCCATTGGGAGAGCCACTCCAAGGTCATGAAGCCTCGGTGAACGCTGTCGCATTCTCACCCGATGGCACACGAATCGTCTCTGGCTCAAGGACAGGACAATTCGACAGTGGGATGCAGAGACTGGCCAGCCATTGGGAGAGCCACTCCAAGGTCATGAATCCTTCGTCAACGCTGTCGCATTCTCACCAGATGGCACACGAATCGTCTCTGGCTCAAGGGACAGGACAATTCGACAGTGGGATGCAGAGACTGGCCAGCCATTGGGAGAGCCACTCCAAGGTCATGAAGACGAGGTCATGGCTGTCGCATTCTCACCAGATGGCACACGAATCGTCTCTGGCTCTTTGGACAGGACAATTCGACAGTGGGATGCAGAGACTGGCCAGCCATTGGGAGAGCCACTCCAAGGTCATGAAGGCGAGGTCATGGCTATCGCATTCTCACCAGATGGCACACGAATCGTCTCTGGCTCAAGCGACAGCACAATTCGACAGTGGGATGCAGAGACTGGCCAGCCATTGGGAGAGCCACTCCAAGGTCATCAATCCTCCGTGAACGCTGTCGCATTCTCACCAGATGGCACACGAATCGTCTCTGGCTCTTTGGACAGGACAATTCGACAGTGGGATGCAGAGACTGGCCAGCCATTGGGAGAGCCACTCCAAGGTCATGAATACTCGGTGAACGCTGTCGCATTCTCACCAGATGGCACACGAATCGTCTCTGGCTCTTTGGACAGCACAATTCGACAGTGGGATGCAGAGACTGGCCAGCCATTGGGAGAGCCACTCCAAGGTCATGAAGACTCGGTGAACGCTGTCGCATTCTCACCAGATGGCACACGAATCGTCTCTGGCTCTTTGGACAGCACAATTCGACAGTGGGATGCAGAGACTGGCCAGCCATTGGGAGAGCCACTCCAAGGTCATGAAGACTCGGTCAAGGCTGTCGCATTCTCACCAGATGGCACACGAATCGTCTCTGGATCTAAGGACTGCACCGTTCGACTATGGGAGGCAAATACCGGTCAGTCCTTGGGGAGGCCACTCCAAGGTCATGAAGACTCGGTCATGGCTGTCGCATTCTCACCCGATGGCACACGAATCGTCTCTGGCTCTTTGGACAGGACAATTCGACAGTGGGATGCAGAGACTGGCCAGCCATTGGGAGAGCCACTCCAAGGTCATGAAGACTCGGTCATGGCTGTCGCATTCTCACCCGATGGCACACGAATCGTCTCTGGCTCTTTGGACAGGACAATTCGACAGTGGGATGCAGAGACTGGCCAGCCATTGGGAGAGCCACTCCAAGGTCATGAATACTCGGTCATGGCTGTCGCATTCTCACCCGATGGCACACGAATCGTCTCTGGCTCTTGGGACAGGACAATTCGACAGTGGGATGCAGAGACTGGCCAGCCATTGGGAGAGCCACTCCAAGGTCATGAAGACTCGGTCATGGCTGTCGCATTCTCACCCGATGGCACACGAATCGTCTCTGGCTCTTGGGACAGGACAATTCGACAGTGGGATGCAGAGACTGGCCAGCCATTGGGAGAGCCACTCCAAGGTCATGAATCCTCATTGAACGCTGTCGCATTCTCACCAGATGCTTTGAATCGTCTCTGGCTCTTTGGACAGGACAATTCGACAGTGGTATGCAGAGAATGGCCAGCCATTGGGAGAGCCACTCCAAGGTCATGAATCCTCGGTCAATGCTGTCGCATTCGCACCAGATGGCACACGAATCGTCTCTGGCTCTTTGGACAGGACAATTCGACAGTGGGATGCAGAGACTGGCCAGCCATTGGGAGAGCCACTCCAAGGTCATGAAGATAAGGTCATGGCTGTCGCATTCTCACCACATGGCACACAAGTTGTCTCTGGTTCCTTCGATAGGACAATTCAAATCTGGAGTTTGGCCAATGGTGAGTTGATTCTCAATATCTCTTTGTTTGTAGTGTCAGTTTTTCTATGGCGACTGATGGTATGCTAGATGTAGGTAGCCTCCACAGCATAAAGCACCTCTCAACCAATATCAAGTCTCCTTCCAGCGATTCTAATCTGTTTATACCTGGATTTGGTGGCTGTTCTTTGCTGCCCGAGGGATGGGTGCAGTCTTCTGGTCGACATATCTTCTGGGTACCACCTAATAATCGACATGGACTGAAGCACCCACGTCTTCTTCTCACTATACCTACTTCAAGTCACCTTAGAGCGACCACAATTGATTTGACCAATTTCCAGTGTGGAATGTTGTGGACAAAGTCCGAACAAGCTCATAGTCATTTGTTGATTTATCAATATAAGATACAAAATAGTATTATTGCCCACCAGGGACTATAAACTCTGATTGGTTTTGCCACTCCTGCGGACTGCCTGAGAATATGATGCAAAGATCATAGAGAGATGGGATAAGAAAGCTAATCTATTTATCATAAGGTTTCATGAGCTTAGTATAGGCCCTTATTGAGTAATCAGGCCAACAAGCCACCTGTGACCAACATTGGAACAGTTTTAGAGCCCACTGTATCTCAGATACAATGCAGCTTGGTTTGACACTCTAACGAGGGGATGGTTTGTTGAAGAGACCTTGGTTCTGCTCAAAGAGCTTGTTGGGAACAAAAGTCACTTTGGAGAGGCTCTTTGCCCTGACTTGGCACACCTTGTAGCTGACATGACTATCTGGGCACCACTAGAATGGGTAGATGGCATCATTCCCTCATTCCATCACAACCAATTAGCCAATTACATAGGAGACATACATCTCATAATCAGTCTGAAATATGTTGATTGTTGATTCTAGGATGTGTGAGGTGAGAGAGCAAGACCAGTATATAGTGTGGCAAACCTAGGACGGCATGAGGTGAGAGGCAAGACCAGTAAGGTCAGCTGCATTGTCCAGCGTCCTAAATACATTGAGTTACGAATGTGAGCTATTACTATTGGCTAAGTCTATTTAGTGAGCACTAAGAGTCAAAGGGTAAACCTTCAACACCGAGGGATCAACAAGTGATTTGGTGGCCATCTTTACTTCATATGCAGTTGAGTTGAGAGGCTTGCTTGTCCTTGGTCAGAGCAGTTGATAAATACCACAAGATCAGAGCGTAGCCTTTGGTCCCAGTTATTCAATTGTGAACATCAGCCACGTCTGACTTGATCTATTCTTTGCCTCTTAACAGCTGCGCGTGTGTCAGCGGTACATTCAAATGGAAACAATCGTGATCAAGATACCATGGATCCACTTTCTAGAGTCTGATTTCAATATGTGCTCTCTTTACAGGGGTAGTTAGGCCACCTCCCACCAATTTGGATCAGGAGAGCCTGGTTATTCAATCTCTAATGACCAAGGGCAGGTTTGCCTCCACTAGATAAAGGATGTAGCATCAAGGTTCCTTATACTTCTAGTTTACTCAGCACCTGCGACATACTCAAAGAGCCAAAGTGCCTCTGGAGTAAAATGGGTGGGAACTGGCTTGTTTTCATCATCAGTCGGTTCCTCGTTGAGTTTAACCTACATAAAACAAAGTTTACATATCCATGGATCCAGGATTTGAGCAAGCTTACAGGTTCCTTCTTGTTTGCACTTAGAAGTTCCCAGTGGCCATGCCAGGTTCATAGATACTATCAGACAATATAGTGTCAAATATCCGTGACAGGATGTATTACGTACGCTAGAGAATACAAGGGTCAGAACCAATCAGCACTGGCTGGAGGAACCAATGAATTCCCAGCGCAGATTCTTCCTTGATGCTGATATAGAAGCAACTTGGGACTTCAGTGACTGGACAACCAATGACAGCTGTGGCTTTTGCAGACACAGCCTGAAAAGTTTGTCCCAATTTTCATAGAATTTGACAGCCTCCTCAAAATGTCCATCAGTAAAATATGAAGCCGCTAATTAGATCAAATCGGGTGCCTTTAGCACGTTAGGTGGACTAGCTAGTCCCCCCCCCTAATTAGCCGCTTAACTGCTCTTACTGCTAATTACTTGTACGAATTCTCAGTTGTAGTCACATGCTTATATGTACATTGATATCCTTACTGTTTTCATCCATTTTCCCACTGTTATATTCATATATGCCTAGTGCAAGAAAAAAAGGATAACTCTGATTCATTCATCTTTCATTGTATACACAAATCCAAATGCAAAGTTTTTGTATGCATACTACCTCATACAACTACTCAAGCTCATATGTCCTGTGGCACCAACACCTGGCCTAAGCTCGAAAGATGGCTCAAGGTATTTTTGGTGTGCAAAGCCGTCATCACCAGACTCCAAGTCACAGATATAGATATATAAAATCTTAAGCTGATTCCTTGTCATAATCGCTAAAAGCTATAATTGAAAACAACTAATTACATGACAGACAAGATGCAGTCCAGATGCCAGGTCTTACTATTGATGCGTGTATGGTGGGTTGGAATGAAAATCAAGGGACGAGTAAGAAGGATGCAGGTAGACAAGCGGCCGGATGCAATGTAGACGAGCACGGCAGATGCAACGTAGACAAGTGGCATTGACAGGTGGCAAAGGATGTTGAAGACAACGCAGCGAGGACGGGGTAAAAGGGTGTAAAATAAGGCGTTAGTGGCGTGTTGATGCGTGGCAGATAGAAACACTGACCTAACAGCACCGACAATGGAGAAGTAAAGGGCAAGCTAGGGCAGCATAGATGAGTGACCGAGATGCAGCGTAGACAAGTGGCCAGATGCGATATAGATGAGCACGGCAGATGCAACGTAGAGGAGTGGCATTGACAAGTGGCAAAGGATGTTGAAGACAACGCGGCAAGAACGGAGTAAAAGGGTGTAAGATAAGGTGTTAGCGGCGTGATACGTGGCAGATAGAAACACTAACCAAACAGCACCGACAATGGAGAAGTAGTAAGGGCAAGCTAGGGCAGCGTAGATGAATGACCGAGATGCAGCGTAGGCAAGGGGCCAGACGCAATGTAGATGAGCACGGCAGATGCAACATAGATGAGTGGCATTGACGGCCAGATGCGATGTGGACAAGCATGACAGGTGCCACGTAGACGAGTGGCATTGACGGGTGGCAAAGGATGTTGAAGACGATGAAGCGAGGACAGAGTAAAAGGGTGCAAGAAAAGGTGTGCTTAGCATGTTGACGCACAGCAAATATAGCGCTCACCAAAATGGTTGGTAAAGTGGCTAATTTTACAGCATGGCAGGGAATCGGGTGATGAAGACGAATGTAAATTAGACGGAGCAATGAGAGCACAATGTGGACGACATCAAGATAATCATGGCTGGAGGACACCATTGCGGTTGCATGGGTGGCGGGAGCAGGTGATGATCAGTGAAAGGCGTAGGTGGGAAGGGAATCACGTGTATGGTACGTTGGAGTCGGGAAGAAGAGCAGGCACTGTTTGTGGAATTTGACGATTTGAACTTTTAGGCGGTTTTGGTTGTACTGGTGCATCACAAATCCATGGAACCTTAATAGATACTGGTCATATGCATCAAAAGATTTCGAGGCTGGCATTGTCCTTGTCAACATCAGTGATGTTGTTATCCAAACAAAAAGTCAATTCATTGAGTTCGTCTTGGTTCTCGCTTGGTAGGGGCGCAGGGGCCTGATTGCATGCGCTACAGTAGGTGAGATATTGCTAAAGAATGTGGAATGGCACTTACATGCAGTAGTCCGCCATACTCATCATCAATGAGGCCGCTTGATCAGGAATAGTATCAATCATGCATTTGATATTCCTGAGGTGCATCGCGTAGGTGTGTTGGTAACTCTCCTCGGTGAAGGGGATCTTCTGACATAACCCCGTCTTCCACTCCTCAAGGGCACTAAAGGTCTAGTAACAAATGAGTCTTAGACGTCGAGTCAGGAAGTGTACCTACAGCAGTAGCAGCAAGGGCAATTGCGCCTGCGGGCATTGGTGAGAAGTGGACACGTTGATCTGCATTGGTGGGGCGGTACAACGATTGCTCGATAATCTGTTGAAGAATGGGGTGTGCATACAGCATGGAAGTGCACTGGATCAAAAGTCAATATCATCTTACATAAGAAGTAGAGCACGTACGCATCCAAAGGAGCCTCAGAGATAATGACCATTTTCAAGCAGGTATGCAACTCGCTCCCGAATGTAACGAGTACGATCCGCAGCGGTAACTGGCCCATTCCACAAATCCACTAAGCACTGTGGCATCTCAAAGCGATAGACCATGCTAACAAGGGCAGCTGCTGTGGCTTTGACACGGCTGCATATAGGCCATGCAGCGTCCGTGATCTATACAAGTAAGCGCAGGTTACTTGTCAAATAGTAATGCTTACCAAGCGATACTTATTGGGAGACCACTCGATCGATCTCCCTAACACCTGGTGAGTTAGTGTGAATTCAGATCAAGGAATAGCTCACCGTCCTGGCCCGGCAGATGAAACTCTCCCTCAGCTACATCGAATGCGGCTCGAGCACCGTCCATTCGTTCAGCAGGAGTTGGAAGGCATTGACCATGGCAATACGAAGAGCATAGAGTCGCCTTGGCAACTGCAAGATGCGCTGCTTTGGTTTCGTATGAAGTGATCTGATATGGTGCTGGGTGATGTTCATTGACGCCGCTGCGAATGTTTTTTGTTGGAGTCTGGTGCCAACTCGTCTTCTGCATTGGTGGCGCACTGCTCAAGATGGGGAGAGATGGACGTCTGACGAGTGGTGACATGGCTACTCGGGCAAGCTGGTTGGAGGTGGATCTCGCTGCGAAATGGCTTGAATGGACTGTCGAGTGGCAGTTGAGAAGATGGTCCTGGTTGGCTCTGGCTGTGGTCTGGCTTGGTGGTTGAATACACCTGATGACCTTGCGGCATTGACCAGCTTTGTTCGTTGGCGACAGTATGGCGGTGTCTCGTGTTTTTTTTTTTTTTTTTTTTTTGGGTTAAGTATTATTGTGCAGTGGCACCGCCAATATAGCACATTGTCTAACTGGAGCCCACTTACTGGGTTACCCTCGGTTTCATTGGCGCGTGCATCTCCTTGTAGGCAGGCAGTTGTCACTCTCCTTGCCGAGATCTCCCTCTGGGTGTGGCTCTGCTATGCTACTTTTGCTTGCTTTCAATTGCCTTGACTGTCTGTGAAGTTGGTTTGGTTTCGATACGCATTGTCACTCTGGTGAGTTGGTTACTCTCTTTCCCTTCCGTTTGTATCCTCCCGTCCCATCTTCAACCTCCCCGTCCTCCTGATAAACTTCAATGTCTCCTTGATTCCCTCCTTTGTCCCTAGTATCTCCACTGGTTCTCTCGTCTTCTCTCGCAATGCTCCTTCCCATTTGGCTCGCGCTGCGTTGTACGCTGGGCAGATGTGGAGGAGATGAGTTATGTTTTCTGCATTTCCCTCTCCACAGTGTGGGCACCATGGTGCATCCACTCTGTTGATGCAGTTCAGATGCTTGTTCAGTCCGATATGTCCTGTACGTAGCTGAATAAGTGCCACTGCTTCTGCTCTCGTTAGCTTGTCTGTGATTTGGAGATATTTGTTGGATGGCATTGTCTTGTCAATGGGCCTGGTCCTGTCATACCGTGCTGAAGATTTCCACTTGTCATGTGCTGACTTCCTTGCTGCAAGTTTGAGTTCCTATCTGAGTGCCGAGATATTCTGTGGGAGGGTGTCCTTCGTCCATGGTGGGAGTGTTGCTGCTGTGGATGATCCATCTGTGATGGCCTTCTTGGCCTCCTCGTCCGCTGCTTTGTTACCCTCAATCCCTTCATGACCTGGGACCCATGTGAGAGTGATCTGAGTCGATCGATTGATCCTCGTCTCGTCATCGCTCGCCTCTACAAGTTCTTGTCTACGCTTTTGATTGTTGCGCAGTTTGTCTATTGCTCTGTGGATCTTGTGGATGATGTGTTGGCCGGCTTTGGCACTGACGTTCTCCATTCCTTGTATTGCTGCCTGGTTGTCAAGGCTGATCTTGATACGTGGTATGATGATCCTTTCCATCTTGGCTAGCTGGACTCCGAGTGCAATTCCAACAAGTTCTCCTTCGTGTACCGTGTGCTCCATGTCTTCTCCAAGCAGGAATCTTGCTGACCTTATCCGTACTCCGTCTCTGTAGAGTACTGCACCTGCTCCTATCATGCCTTCCATTCCTGAGCCGTCCGTATAAACTACTACCTGCTCGCTGTTGCCGTTGCTGTTGTTGTCCGCCTCTTTCGCTAACATCTTCGACTCCTCTATTGAGATAGTGAATGGGTTAGTGGCATTGGGGTTGCGTGACGCTGGGGTGATGGCTTTGAGGTCATCTACTTTGGAGTCGATGGAGTGGAAGATGCAATGTAGGGGGGCGTTGTGCCTCTGGAGGAGTCCTCTTGATGCTCGTTTCACAAATTTGGAGAGAGGATGGGTAGCGGGCAGGCTTGCCAGCCGGGCCGCTGCCTTCTGGCATGTGAGGCGTAGAGTTTCTTTGATTGGTAGCATATTGAGGTGCGCATCAAGGGTATCTCCTGCTGTTGTGCGGATAGCGCCTGTGATACCGATGGCGGCTCTACGTTGGACGGCTTGCAGCTTCTTGGTGATGGCTACGGATCCCATCCGGCGTGCGGAGTCTGGCTTGGTGTACAGTGGGGTGTACCAGATGTCTGTGGCGTATGTGATGCAAGGAATGGCAACGGAGTTGAAGAGTTGGCGGCCTGAGCGGATTGGGAGGCCATGGAATGCCCTGTGTATATGCGAGAATAGTGAGGTCCACTTTACTGCCCTTGTGTGCACGAGCTCCTGGTGCTTGTTCCACCGCAGTGACTGGTCGATCACCACTCCAAGTAACTTGCAACTGTCGGTAGGTTGAATTGTTACTGTTGACATTCTGCCATTGCTGTCCTTTGCCTCGAGGACCAGGGGATGTGAGCCTTTGCACTTTTCGGATGACATGGTGAAGTCGACAAGCCCGAGTTTGTTGTTCTCGAGTGGTGAGTGGTGCGAACGTGACCAGTCTAGTACACCTCCTTCACGTTCCATCATGTCCTTCAGTCCGAGGTGCATGTCATGGAAGTTCTGGCCAATGGCGATCAGGGTAGAGTCGTCCACAAACCCGAGGGTGAGCTGGTCCTTGCTGTTTGCGATCTCCAGTAGTGGGGCAATGTAGAATAGGTAGAGGATCATTGAGAGTGGGCATCCTTGGCTGTTCCCATTGGTGATAGCGCGGGGTGCAGAGTGCACCTTGTCGAATTTGAGGTGCGTGGATCTGCCTGTCAGCATGTTCTCGAGAGTCTGCACATACTCCTCTGGGATCCCTTTTGCTCTCATGTTCTGCATGAGGACTGGCTTGACAACATTGGGGAATGCTGCTTGGATGTCGAGAAACAGTGCGCTGGCCACCTTTGACTCCCTCCATGCCTTCTTGATTGTGCTTGTGAGAAGGTGAAGGGCGTCCGTTGTTGTCCTTCCTGGTCGACCACCGAACTGAGAGTGTGGGAGCAGTGCATAGTGCTTGGACATGTAGGTGAGGTCCTCCGCCATGAGTGCCAAGAGAAGCTTTCCGAGGGTGTTGAGGAGCGCGATTGGTTGGTACGCTTTGGCTATATTGTACACTGGCTTCCCTGGCTTTCATAGGACCACTGTAGTTGATTCCTTCCACTGCTTTGGAATGTGCCGGAGTCGAATGGCCGCATTGAATACATTCTTGAGGATGGGACTGATAGCTGGGAGTGCTTCCTGAATTGCTGCATTTGGGATACCATCCAGGCCTGGTGCCTTGTCGCGCTTGAGACGTCCAACTGCCTTGCTCACCCTCTTTATCGAGTATGGTGTCCACTGAGGAAGTGCAGTTTGAGGTGCCGGCCTTGGTCTGGGGAGTGCGAGTGCAGGTGGAGGTGGAAAGAATGCGTCGCATAGTAGCTCTGCTTTCTCCTCGTTACTTTGCGTTAGTGTGCCGTTCGGCTTTTTGAGTGGGGGGATTCTCTTGCTACTTCCGTCGTTGGCGCCTCGCTTGATGAAGCGGTTAATGTTCCATAGGTCGGCGTTGGATGCCTTGTCGATCCACTTCCACCAGAATGCCTCCTTGCTCTTTCGTACCATCTCCTTCATCTCTTGGCACAGTGCCTTGTAAAGCTGATGACTTGGGTGGGCTGGGGATGCTTGCCAGTACCGCGACTCTGTGTATGCTTGGCATTTGCATTTGTGAAGATCCTGACATTGCTTGTTCCACCACGGCTTGCGGAATGTTGGGTCCTTGCTGAGCAGGGTCATGTCCTTGAGCTTTGTCTGCATGTAACCTGTGAGTAGCTCGACAAGCTGCTCCAGCTCCTCAGGGCGCGTTGGTTCGATTGCCAGTCTTGGGTCGTTCTTGACTGCGTCTTCCATGCCTTCCCGGAATTTCTCCCAGTTTGTCCTTCTGTAGTTTGGCCTTGGCGTGATGGCCACTTTCGCAACTGAGAGGTTGATGATGGAGGCGATTGGGATGTGGTCCGTTGTTGTTGGACGAAGGTCTGGCCATGTATTGCACTCTACGAGTCGGTGGATGATATCGTCTGATGCCCACACGTTGTCTGGCCTAGTTTGACTCCCGTTCTCCTCTCGTGTGGGTATTCCGGCTGGTAGGAGTTGCTGCATGCCGTGTTCAATGATCAGGTTGAGTAGCGGAGTGATGGCATCGGTCGAACTGCGTAGGTGACGGTTGTTGTCCCCCTCCCAGGTGTGGTGGTGCCTGTTGAAGTCCCCAAGCCATACTTCGAGCTGGTTGGCCCATGTTGACATATTGCGCGTTTCGAGGTGTTGGGTGAGCTGGTCCAATGTATCGTTGCTGGTGCCTTCGTTGTAGATGTTGTAGATGGTGCAGAGGCCCGATGCAGTACCCACTCTTATTCCTACAATGTCGCTTGAATCAACATCTATCTGCATGCACGCACCGACGCGTGTGCTGACTAGCATTACAGCACGTATTCTGCCGTGGCCTTCGTGAGCCTTGGTGGATGGGTAAAACGACTGCCATTTCCTGTTAGCCCGAGTGTTGCCGAGGGAGTTGAGTGCTGGTTCTTGGATTGCAATAACGTCCCAGTCGTCCGGTGAGGCTGTGTTGATGAATTTGTCGTGGGCGTCAAAGGATTTTCTGAGGTTGATCTGTATGATTCTTAGATAACTGCTTGTTGTGAGTGGGGTGCCGTTGTTCATGCAGAGGGGTCAGTTGGCCAGGCATTACTGGTCATGATGGATGGCTGGGTTTGAGCGGGGGGCAGTGAGGATGGTGAAGAGGTCGTTTCTTGCAATGAATTGGGGGTGGTTTGGGTCTTGGGAGTTGGCCCGGGGTGCTGGATGCTTCGTGCAACTTGCGTTGGGATGCTGTATTGGGCAAGTGTTATCTGTCGGTTTTTTGTCTGGTTGATCTTTCTGGACTTGTTGGTGACTCCCTGTGAGGCGTTGGCAGCCGCCGTTGTGAGCTGCTTGCCTGCTTGTTCTTGCGTGGTCTCGGTCTCGATCTCTGGGCACAGGTATCCTGAGTTCTATGGGGCATTGACTGACTCGTTATATGTCCATCGGTCCTTGGTGAAGAAGAATTTGGATCTCGTTTCTGGCGCATGTTCCGCTTGCCTGTCCTGTCTGGACTTGCTTTCTATGCACCTTTCATCCCCGGAGGAGTGTCGGCTGGACCCGCATGGGGTGCATTTGGTCTGCGTTTTGTCCGGACAGTCCCGAGAGCTGTGCTCTTGCGCACAGAATCGGCAGGTGAACCTCTCCACCTTGCATGCCGCCAGGAAGTAGTCATGGCGA